TAGCACACTACAAAAAATAGGGTATGAGTAAGACAGTCAGAAGGGGCTGACCGCCTGTTCCTTGGGTAAGCTGGTTCCTTTAACTGGGGATTTCCTCAGGGAGAAGAGGTTCCCGTCCTACAGACGAAGGCACTATATCAGAAGGATGTTCTGCTTTTCTTCAAAGAGATTCATCTCTTCCGCAGACTGACGGGATTCCTAACACAAGACCATTTCCCTTCTGGCTCGGGAACGGGCCTCAGTTCAAAGGGAGCTGATCTATAATTGTGAGAATTTCATAAATGGACAGAGGATCTTCCTCCAAAGAGTTTTAACCTCTTTTAGCCAGGAAAAACATTCTATTTTTTTCTCATAAGAACCCTGGAGAGTAAGCAGGAGGGGAGTTTTGTCTCCATTTCATGGATCAAGAACTGAGGCAAACTTCACTTGCCTAAAGTTCTTGCAACAGCAGAATATAAAGCTCTAGCAGAGAGGGCTTGATCTCAACCCTCTAATATCACTAATGGGCGACAAATGCGACACCTGTGCTGCCATTCACCCTGCCTATGCCCGAGGGCTGTAGCTGAGAACATGGGGCTCTTTCCCACGACGGTCAGACTCAACCGCAGAATCCTTCCCAACACAAGGCTCTAAGCAGCTGCTCCCAACAGATAGGTGCTGGCACGGAAGAGGAAAAATCACTTATACCCATGAGAGCACAAGGCCCGGCAGAACAGGAAAGGGGTGAGGATTCACCAACTCGTTTCACTTGTTTTAGGTACGGATTAGGCCAGATATTGAAGATTGCAAATGCAGCCCAGACATTAAATATCCTATTACATTCTTCTCAAAAAGCATTTTGGGGGCACCTGGGTGGCTCAGTCAGTTAAGCGTCCTACTCTTGATTTCACCTCACATCATGATCTCAATGTTGTGAGATCAAGGCCATGTGTCCAGCTCTGCACCGGGCATGGAGCGTGCTTGTCCTCTCTCTCTCTCTGCCCTCTGTCCCTCCCCCACGACACATGCACTCTCTCTCAAAAAAATAAAACTAAGAATGAAAATAAATGAATAAATAAAAGCATTTTGTTAATGTGTATAAAGGAAGGCACTTTTATGTTAAAAGTATATATTCATATATACACTGTATACTTTTATGGACCTTTATACAACACTAACCAGTACTGGGTAGATAGATGTACAATGCCTGTAGAAGTTCCAAGGGGCAAAAAGCAGAACTATTTTCTATGAGTATTTACATTCTCCATACATAAGAATAAAGTTTGAATTTATGTTAACTATAATAACAAAAATGAATGTTAATATTAACTCAGGACGTATTATGAGTCTGACCCTGGATTAGATGTTTCAGTTTTCACCCTCATGATAATCTATGTGAAAAGAACTATTATTATTTCAGTTTTACTGATGAGAAAACAGAGGCTTAAGTTTAAGAATTTAAGGTCACAGATAAGATTATATTTGTAGGTTGTTCCCACACTGACAAAATGAGGCATGCTATATTTAAATTTCAAAAGCCCTAGTATTTAAGCTAAAAGATGACAGAACCCTTCTTGGGTATTCATGTTCTAAATTGTCAAATCTGTCTTAGATCAGAAGCAAAAACAAAGACACCAATCACAATTCTTGATCATTCTGTCCTTCAGGGAAGCAAGCTTTTCTAACAAGACATACAGATAGGGAATACCTCTACATAAATGCATAGTTCCTCATGATTTCATGTGAGGAGACTCTGGAATAGGAAGGACAAGTTCAAATTCAGTTCAAGAAACAAAGACAAGAGCAAGTTCAGCGCAAGGAACTGAAAGAAAGCCAGTGTGGCTGGAGTACATACACTCTCAATGTCACCTAGCGATGCTGGAGGAGAATTTAAGTAAAACGACCTAAGACGACAGAGTCTTTCAGCCAAGACTATATTGTAAGTGTGTGCATTCAGTGACCCTCTCTTGTCACCACCCCAGGTCCAAAACAGCAAAAATATACAAAGTTACAGACATGTAGGGGCTTAGTGTATGTGTCTGTGTGATTAAAAAAAAAAAATTAAATATCTCCATGGAGCAAACACAAAATAGAAATGCAAAAGAAATTGCAGACAGTAGTGTCTAGGAGTCCTGCTTCTGTGGGCTAACGGGGCCAAAAATGTCCATAGGAAAAGTCTGGGACCTGAGTTAGGCTCACAGCTGGAAATAAGCAAATGTGGAGGGGGGAGCTCCACACCACAGTGAAAGGGGGCTTTAAAACTTGCCTTATCGGGGCTCCTGGGTGGCTCAGTGGGTTAAATCCTCTGCCTTCGGCTCAGGTCATGATCCCAGAGTCCTGGAATCGAGCCCCGCATCGGGCTCTCTGCTCAGCAGGGAGCCTGCTTCCTCCTCTCTCTCTGCCTGCCTCTCTGCCTGCTTGTGATCTCTGTCTGTCCAATAAATAAACGGGGTCTTTAAAACAAAACAAAACAAAACAAAACAAAAAAACGCTTGCCTTATCCAGGGAGGGGCAGAAGGCAGACACAGCCTTACAATCAGACTTGGGCCAAGTATGCTGGCCTGGCAGTGGATCTTGGACATTCTATCACTGACATGAAACAGAAGCCTCCAGCTGCAAATATAACCCTTGGCTCTGGTTGGGGTCCTCGGAGGTAAGAAGCAGGTAATAGCAAATCCCTAGGAAGGGCAGGGTGGGTGCTAGGATAGAACATGGGGAAACAAACTCAAGATGACCCTCTAAAACATAATTCCAAAGCACAGGAGAAAACCCAGCATTAGGAGGGTCCAACACGGTCATCATCAGGCTTACCCACCCCCTCCCCACCACGAAATGAAAAGAACAGCCTCATAGTGACTTTAAACTGAAGCTTTAAAAAACAAGTAGGTTGTTGCACAGATCATCTTTATCAGCTAGAATTCAACATTCCTCACATTAAATTTCTTATTATATAAATCTTGAAGTTGTAAGTGTTGAACTCATATTTTCCAGTGAAGTGACTAGAAGCACAGTGTTACTATCTTTAGCATCTGTGAGACCATGGGATACGTCTCTGCTCCCTCAGGGCCATGAAGGTCGAACTTCCAAGGTGCCTGCACCTTTAGAGAATGAAAGATGACCTTGGGACAGCTTGTGATGGCGGAACAGACACGGCTTGCCGAGGTGGACGACGCGGATGGAAGAGCTAAGCCACTCCTGTGACAGAACACCTCTCTCTGACAGAAGGATGGGAAAGTGGGCAGAACAAGAAAATGGTCCCTGAAATTAAACATGGCCTGTAGAACTAGATTCAGTCTAGAGTTGGAACAAACTTATTAAATTCTCCACCTGCCCTGCCTAGAAGCGTTTATGTTTATAAAGCATAGTTACATGTACTGTAAAGTGGGAGATCCTAAATATAGAAGATGACCATTTGATGAATGAATAGCTGAATGGCCATCCATTCTGAGCAGGAAAAAATTGAGGCTTCGTGCACATTCCTCTCCATCTTTAGGACAAGCTCAGAAGAAGCTGTGCGAAAACCAAATTCATCAATTCAAGTAACACACCTAAAGAAAATTCCTGTAGTATTCAGTTTTAGAAGGTCACTGCACGGCTCTGATTCCTATACTTGTTATAAGCACCAGCCATTTAAATGAATCATGTTCCTTCTCTTTATCCAAGAAGGACGTAGCGATAGATGCGACTAGGTACAAAGGGTGAGGGAAAGATCCCACATCCAGGCTCTAATCCCCATCGGACTCTCGGCTCAGGGGGAGAAGCACCCCCACGGAAAGCTGAGTGAGCTACCTCACCCCTCTGAAGCCAGAACTCCAAAGGGGCCGCGATGCATTAGCCAAGGACTAGTTTTAGTCATTTTTTTAAAACCCCAGACAGAAGTGATTACAGCGCTAAAAAAATCTTTTGTCTTCCTAACCCTTCACAGGAGATCTTGGAGAGCTCCCCAAATGTCCAGCCTGGGGCAAAATCTGACCTGTCTAGAATCGTAGATTCTAATGACATGAAGTGGCACTGGGAAGTGGCCAGCTCCCTGTTCCAGGCAGTGCTCAGATGGAGAGACCTGTGATGATGCATCAGAATGTGCGGGCACGCCTGAGGTGGGAGGCTGCCGGATTGTTGCTTCCAAATCTGGAACCAAGGACTCTGGGCCAATTCTTAGGCCAGAGCTTCCCCGTGGAGGAAAGGCAATGCCAGCACAGCCAGCAAATGCTGAAAAGGCTCAGAGACCACTGTGGTCGTGAACCCACAGCTTTCTGACAGCCCACTCTCTACTTCACTGAAGGTGGTACAATTATAATGATTAACGTGCATTTACTGCCACTGACCTAAAGCCAGTGAATTCTGCCAACAGAGAGTTCTTAGAAAGAAAACGAAGAAATAACATATAATTACGACTGGCACTCAGGCGCTACATATTCAGCTCTTTGTTTCACTTCTTTCTTCTTCCTACTGAATTCCTTTGACCACGTCTCTGTGGCTTTAATTCCCTCCCCCAGGGGTGAAAGAAAGCAGGGGAGACTCAGAGTCACCCACATGGCAATCTGTGGTGAAGGGGAAGGTAAAGGAGGGCAGGAAGATATTAAACTTACTGGAACAGTGACTGCTTTTTTGTCTTTGTTAGTATGGTACAAAGGAAAGTGTGGGCTCTGGAGTCAGACTGAGTTTTGACTTCTTGTTCTGCCGCTTGCTAGCTGTGTATCCTTTGGCAAATAACTCAGTTGGTCCAACTCAGCTTCCTCAGGGAGAAAATAGGGATATGCATATCTGTGTTGGAGGACAGTTGCAAGGACTGGAAAAAAAATAATGCAAAGAGCCAACTATAGATCCTTCCCATCAGGTAAGCATTCAAGCTGCCTTATTAAAAGTACCTAAAGTTTACTCTTCTCATGTAATTAAGATATGACTGAAAGCAAACGCTCTTCCGCTGAGAAGTAGGGGTTCCCCAGTAAATGCGCACATCTTAATCAGCCAATTTCTTGGTATAAATTTGCATCTTAAAATTTGCATTGGTTAAACTTTACCTGTCGACTTCCCTGCTTGGAGGAGCAGCTACTCGTGCTCCTTGAAGGTGAGACCAGTTTTTGGGACACCCCAAGGTTCTTCTCGTCACTCATCATGAGCAGTGCGTCACTTGGCTTTGGTGCGGTCAAAATGCCATCCGAAGACAGTGGAGCTGAGAGTACAGAAGTCCCACGCAGACAGGTGGCTCAGTTCTTATCCAGTACGTTTCAAAACCATTTTGGATGACCCAGAGGAAATCTCTAAAAGCAAAAGAAAAGGATTACAGAGAAGATCAGAGGCACCAAACACCATCTGTAATTAGCTCCCGATTGTCTACAGTACAGAACACAGGAGCCATTATGCTTAGTTGTATCAGGAGCTGTGAAGGAAAAGATGCTCTACACCCATCTTTTACTGGAAATTATGTATAATGGGTTTTTCATGTAGTTTTGCAATATGCCAAAATTAAGAACAGTAGTAAGAAAATTTTAATCCAGACACATACAAAATCAGAACTATAAAAAACCATCTCAACCACGATGAGATTTACCACTTCATACCTACTAAATGATAAGTATAGTTTTTTTAAAAAATGGAAAATAACAAGTACGGGAAGGAACTGGAACCCTCAGGCATTGCTGGTATGGACATTAAACGGTATAGCATAGTTAGAAAGAGTTCGGTAGTTTTTAAAAAAGTGAAGCAGAATTTTCTTCTGATCCAACTGAAAACAGGTGTTCAAACAAAAACTTGTACAAGAAGGTTCACGGTAACACTACTGGCAGTAGCCAAAGGTAGAAACAACCCAATGTCCATCCACCGATGAATGGAAAAACCACATATGGTGTACACTGCGGTCTGAATGTCTGGGTCCCCCCGAAATTCATGTGTTAAAAATCTTAAACTCAATGTGATGGTGTTAGGAGGTGGGGCCTTTGGCAGGTACTTAGGTCCTGAGGACACAGCCCTTATGAATGTAATTAATTATAAAAAAGATGACACAGAGCTCCCTAACCCCTTCTGCCATGTGAGGATACAGTAACTCCACGACTGGAAGAGGGCCCTCTGCCCATCATCCTCATTCTGGGCGCCGAGCCTCCAGAACTGGGAGGAATAAATTTCGGTTGCTTATAAACCACCCATCTGTGGCATTTTGGTATAGCAGCCCAAATGGACTAGGACTGCATAGCCATACAATGGAACATTGTTCAGGAATTAAAAGGGATGAAGTTAAGTGATACAAGACACAACATGGATAAATCTTGAAAACATTATGCTAAGTGAAAGCAGCCAGACAGAAAAGACCACATATGTATGTTTCTATTTATATAAAATAACCACAGTGGGCTAATCTATAGAGGCACAAGGCCAAGTAGTGGTTGCCAAGGGCTGGGGGAATTGGGAAATAGGGTATGGCTATGAGGTTTCCTTTTAGGGTGATTAATGTTCTGGAACTAGATAATGGTGGTTGTTGTACAACACTGTGAATGACTAAATGTCACTAAACTTACAGCAGAAAATGGCTAAACGTTGATTTTATATTATATGTATTTCACTATAATTAAAACACACACACACACACACAACTGTTTTTTGGAGGGATGGGGTGGAAGATTTGTTCTACCAAAGGTTTGGAGACATCTTTTAAAACATCATTACATAGTGTGACAAAACTATGAAGGAAAACAGAATTTCCCACATTGTCTATAGTATCCCAGTAACTGAAACAATAATCACCTTGGAGTGCCCACACTACCTACTGTCAAGTCCCATAGTAAGAGTTACCCATACACATGATCTCATTTAATCAACAGTCTGCTGGGAGGACTCTTACAGAGGAAACAACAGAGTCTCTGAGAAGTTAGGTAACTTGCCCAACCACGCAGCTGGCAAGAGACGGCATTCAGGCTAGACGCCAGACCTTTCACCTTGGTGTTGGAAATGATCACCCTTTAATAGCTAGGTGTGGTGATAACAGCTACTGCGCAACTCTGGGACCCAGCAGAACTGAGGAACTGCCTAGAAAGATTCAGGAGGGGGCACATCGTAAGCCAGCTTCACGGAGGCCCTGCCCCATTCCTTCAACCACTGCCTTCATCCACAGCCCTGAGTCAAGGGTAACTAACATGTTTGGTTTTGGCTTCAGAAGACCAGCCTTTTATTTGACACACTAAGTTCAAACAAACTCTGTAAATTTCCCATGCATGTTAACAACAATTATATATATAATATATATATGATTATATATATAATAAATATATTACATAAATATATTTAATATATAATATATGATTATATCATATATAATACATAAATATATAATTTAATATAAATATATTATATAAATATATTATATATAATAAACAGATTGAAGATATATATATATCTTCAATCTATTTAGCTCTTAGTGTTCACATAGTCTTAATTTTAAAAGAAGCATGTTATATAATTATAACATGATATAGCCAGGACCCAGCTAGTTAGATATTATTTTAAATCTTTGGTTCATTAATAAGTACTCAATCTCCTATGCTTTTCATGGACACATAGTTCTTTAAAAATGAGTATGTTGATGAGCACTGGGTGTTGTAAGGAAGTGTTGAATCACTAGATTGTACACCTGAAACTAATATTACCTGGTATGTTAACTGGGATTTAAATAAAAATAAAAACAAATGAGTATGCCAAAGCCATCAACTAAAACCAAGTCAATGAGAAGTATCAGGTCAGAAAATAAAATTAAGGTAAGTGTATAGCCAGAGAACTCAATTCGTATGCTGCTTTCATAGAAACCCCCCCAATCTCTGTATTCATACATATTGGATCCAACAATAACTAAGACTAAATAAAACCAAACCAACACCAGCCTCTTCACAAAGTTAGCTTGGCTTGTGGGGCGTGACTAATTGGACCCGAAGTTAGAAGCCAATGTGGTCGAGTTCAAAACTGCCAAGAAAGGCTGTACGGATATATTAATAGTTGGTTTAATAGCATGTTGGCCGTTGCTGTTGAAGAAAGAGAGGGCAAAGAAAACATGACGGGAACCCCAAACGATGAACTGTGTGTGGGGGCAGCCGTTGCCATGACAACCGATTCCACAGCAGATCTGGATCGCCAGCAAAGGGTTTCTCTGTGTGTCCGCCAGCATTTTTGTCATGTTTTTAAAAGCCGAGGCTCTGACAGGGAGGGCTCGGGACAAGAGACACCACGAGGGGTGGTCTGTAACATGGGCAGAAGGGGCAGAAAGGGATACCCGGGTAAGAGAGAGTCCCAGCAATTCTGAAACTGCCAAATTAGAAACACAATCACCCCGTCCCAGGGGCAACTGATACAAAGGGTCGTCTTTATGGCTTAGCTCCACCAAATTTCACCTTGGATGAAAGAGCTACAAGGGTCAGGGCTGGGAGCCGGCCAAACCCCATACTCATTTAAGTTGGTACTTTGAGGTAAGGCCTCTGCACTCAGAAGCCTCTTTTTCTCCTCCAGGGAAAAGAGAGGGTGAGACTCCTGCCTCTCCCACATCCAGCTCCCAGTGAGTCTGGGATTATCACCTAGGGAAATACATCTTGTTTCATCCCCCAGAACCTTCCAGCCTAGCCTCATGAGAAATTCAGTTAAAATCACCAGTTAAAATTCAGTTCTTTACAGCGTGAAGGGGAAAAGAGGTCAAATTCTGAGAAAAGGAAATACTTAAAACAGGGTGAAGGCAACAGAGGCCTGAGACCGAGGTGTCCCAGGAATGAGAGTGTCCCGTGGAATGAGGCAGTTATTGTGTCAACCTTGGAGAACCTAAGGGCTGACCTGCGGGTCCTCAGAGGGAAGACCCTGACAGGAGTACCACGACAGAGGACCTTAACAAAGAGGAGTCACACGAAAGGTTGGTGTCTCCTACTCCAACTAGCTGACTTCGCAGTGCCGACCTACTAAAATAGGGAACATGGACCCCTTAGGGGTGATGGATACCGTCCAGGAAAGAAGGCCCCTGATTCAGGGGTACAGGGACCTGTGAAAGAGCTGCGGGGCTTTCTCCTATCGCAGTGACCCTTCCATGGAAAACCTCTAACTCAAGGGGTTTGTATAAAATATAATAATTTTCCTACTCACAAGTTGTGAACAACTTAAGGACAATCATTTATTTCCCCCTTATTTTTTTTTTTTTTTACTGAGCATAACTTCCATATAGTAAAGTGAACAAATCTTAAGCACACAGACAGCTTTATGAAATTTACATTTGCAAATACTGAAATAATCACCACCCAGATCAAAAAATAGAACATCTACAGCCTCCTCAGAAGGTTCTTCCAGCCCTTGGCCATTGATCTGACAGGTAGGGGGGCCAATCCTCCTGCTGAATGCTGTGGTACCTGCCCCAAGTAAACCTGTCAGGTAGTCTGGGGACTACCTGTCTGTGCTCTGGAGAGAGACAGCTGGGACTTCCCAAACTCATGGCAGCAGGTCGTAGGACTGCTCTTGTGCCTTCTGCCTGATACAAACGTTTGATGCATGACAGAAGTCAGCGTGGGATCTGCTTTCATTTCAACGAACCAGCTGGTAGCCAAATCCAACAGGGATGACAAGCTCAATGCACTTAATTGAAAAATGCCCTTCTTGGGGGTGCCTGGGTGGCTCAGTCATTAAGCGTCTGCCTTCATCTCAGGTCATGATCCCAGGGTCCTGGGATCGAGCCCCACATCAGGCTCCCCACACAGTGGGGAGTCTGCTTCTCTCTCTCTCCTGCTCCCTATGCTTGTGCTCTCTCTCTGTCAAATAAATAAACTAAAAAAATAAATAATTAATTAAAAATGTGCTTCTGAAATGAGCTAGGTCCTCTCTCATCATTGCTACTCACCTGGGAAGCTGATGGGTCAGGAAATGGTGTTCCCACTACAAGTCCAATGCATGAGATGTGCAAGCATGGAACATCCAGTAGGGAAAAGAGAACTCTGACTTCTACCAATAATTGGGAAGAACAAATGATCAAGGCACTGCCAAGCTTTTTGGTCACAAAGGCTGATTTCAAGACTCATGGACATTTTGACTTTAAAAAGAACATAGAGTTTGGGCAAAGTGCAAAGGAGATACACAGACTAAGATGTATGTGACTCAGAAGGAGCCAGACCTAAGTTTGCATTTAGTGCTTTCTAATTACAAACTATGCACACCTTGACATGCGTGAATACTTCCATGGTCTTTAGGGGTTTTACGCAGGAAATGGGGCATCTTGAGGATTAAATGAAAAATGAGGACAAGGTGTCTGGGG